GTAATGACTACTTACCCACAACACTAAAAGCATGATTTCTGAAAGAAAAATGTAATACATTGGACTTTATTAAAATTAAAAAGATCTGCTCTACAAAAGACCCCGTTAAAAGAGTGGAAAGTCAAGGCACTGACTGGAAGACAATATTTGCAAAACACTTCTCTGATAAAGAGCTTGTATCCAAAATATACGAAGAACTCTTAAAACTCAACAGTAAAACAAGCAACTCAATTTAAAAATGGGTAAAAGATGTGAAGAGACACCTCATAAATGAAGAAAAACCAATGGCAAGTGAGCTCCTGAAAAGATGCTTCACATTGTATACAAGGAGGGAAATGCAAATTAAAACAATATTAAATACCACACTACACATCTATTAGAATAGCTGAAACACAAACACTGACAACAAATACTGACAAAGATGTGTGAAAGGAACTCTCATTAATTGCTGGTGGGAGACCAAAATGGTGTAGTTACTTTGAAAGTGTATTTGGCCATTTCTTTAAAAAATAAACATACTCTTGCCATATTATCTGCCAATTGAAACTCTAGGTATTTACCCAAATGGGTTGGAAATTTATGTCCATGCAATTGTTTATAACAGCATTATTTATGATTGCCCAAAACTGAAAGTCACCAAGATATGTTTCAATAGGTAAAGGCATAAACAACTGTGGTACATCCATACAGTAGACTATCATTCAGCAACAAGAAGAATAATCTATCAAGCTATGAAAAAACATGCAAGAAAACTTAAATGCATATTGCTAGCTAAGTGAAACAGAGAAGCAAGTCTTAAAAAACTACATTCTGTATGATTCTAACCATAACATTCTGGAAGAAACAAATTTAGAGAAAAAAAAGACCAGTGCTTGTGAGGAGTTTATGGGGAGAGAGAGAGGGATGAATGGGTGGAGGAGCATAGGGGATTTTGGGGGAAGTGAAAGCATTCTGCCTGATCCTATAATGATGCATATATGACATATGAATTTGTCAAAATCCATAGAACTATATAGTACAGAGAATGAACCCTACTGTAAACTATGCACGTTAGTTAATACAAGGTACCAATATTAGTTCATCAGTTGCAACAAATACGCCACAGTAATGCAAGATGTTAATAAAAGAAACTGTATATGGAGAAAGAGGGAACTCTGTACTTTCTGCTCAACTTTTCTATAAACAAAACAGTGCTCTAAAAAAAAGTCTATTAATAAGTTTTTAAATCCCATGTGAGTTCAGAGGGGGAAATACTGCTTCCAGTCAGAATAATCAGGGAAAATAAAACTACTTGGAAGGGATGGCATTTCACGTATACTTTGACAGATGGTTAGGATTTGGATAATATGATATCCTATGTACAGTAAGGACATTCAGATAGATGAAAGACGGAGGTTAAGCAAATGTGCAAATCAGCTCATCCGTAAGCCCTGTATGCATTATATACCAGTAATATTTACTATTTAACATATATGAAATTAAGTTCTCTTATAAGTAGAAATAATTATATATTGCAAGGTTATTCCTAGGATTAAATTACATATTATTGGTGTTAAGTAAAAAGTTGTCACTTTATGTTAGACTGGAATTGTCTAACGCTTTCATATATACAATGAATAAGCAAATCTTAAATGTACCATTCAATGAGTTTAACAATTTCATATACGTTTATAAAATAAACCTTCACCAAAATAAAGAACATTTTGATGAAGGATACTATATTATAGGATAACCCTATAACATAGAAGCATAAATATATAATAATCCTAGAAAAATAGTCCCATAACTATTTCTACTATTAATAGGAATGCCTTCAGTGAGTTTAAGTTGCAATGGATACTGCAATAGTAGAGTGGATTTAGAAGGACTGAAAAGACAGTAGGAAAAATGATAACATTTTGTGAGAATAACTAAAAGTAAATCTGAATGCAAGTTAAGGATGCTGGACAATGTTCTATTTTTAAGAAGGAGATTGGAGAAGAATCAGTGCTTTGGTCAAATGTGCTAACATTTGTAACGTGTCTAGTACTGTGGCAGTCACACTGTAGATGTTAAAGATGGCAAAATGTTAAGGAAGCCACAAAGAAGAGAATAGCAATGAGGTGAGGATTTTCAACACTGTCAAATACTACAAAGGTATTGGAGAATTTGAAGAGGGATTCAAAAGCATTGGATCTATCAACCGTAGGAGACTTTTGGGAGGACTGTTTCCACAGAGCAGTTGGAGCAATAGACAAAGTCATGGTTTTTAAAGGTGTATGTAGTGAAGAACAGGAAAAAGCAGCAGAAACAACTCTTTATCTCAAAGTTTGGTTATGAAAAAAAGGAGATACCTAGAAAAATAACTCAGAGGGGTAGCAAAATGTTATTCTTGGATGGGAGAGGACTTGAGCGTGCATAAAAGTATATAATTTTTTGATAATACTAAAGAAGCAAAAGAAATAATATATACAGGGTGATGAATAAAAGCACATACGGTGGATAGATAATAAGAAGTGGTAGAGGAGATTATTAATTTTGAAGGGAAGAAAGAATTATTTTTTTCCCTAAGAAAGAAGGAAGGATGAGAAAGTAATTTAAAAGAAAACAAACTTTGAAGCAGAGAGGATAGAAGTTGAAGTACCTCATTCATTTACAAATGTCTTTATGCATCTAAGTACCAAACACTGGGCTAGAGAACAATACAAGAACAGAAGCATAAGAGGTCTACAATGCCAGGACAGCACAGTAAATTTTGTGATAAATATGAGAGTGAAGTGCCATAGCAGTCAGGGGAGAATCCACATATAAAACAACATTTCAATGATGGCTTTGAAGTTCATGTAACCAGGTGGAGAAGAGAAGGAAAGATATTCCAGGCAGGAGAGACAGAAGGTGCAAATCTAGAGCATTGCAAATAGAACAGCTTGTATCTGATGGTGTTTGTAGGTAAATTCTTGATTGCTGGCTTCTATAGCAACTGACAGGGATTTTTTCTTTCTCCAAGCCAATTTGTGTAAGCAGTATAGGTCATCTCCAGAGGTGACCGTTCCCTAATTCCAATTCTATTCCTTAAACCTCCTGCCTCTTACTTTTCCTCCCAGTAAAAGGTGGTCATTTTGCTGGTCTGTGGATACATACTGTCAATAACCTGATGATCACTAAGCCAATGCTCTCTTTTGTTTGTCTATACTTACTAATGGTAACACTGTTTTCCCTGCACCCATTTTGGAATTTTTCATCTCTTCATTTACCCATCTATTTATTGGCATCAAATACTTTAGATTACTTCCTCATAAAGATTTTCATGTTTTCTTATTTTCAAATTCCCATTGCTTTGGTTTTGGTCATCATTAGATTATGCCTAAATTATTACAACAACCTTCTTAGACTCTGTCTATAGTCCTTACTTTTCAAGCACCATCTTGTACCCCACCACCAGATTAATCTTATCAAACATCACATTCCCCAGGCAATCTTCCAGTCCACAGTCCAGTGACTATCTGCTACTTAAGATAGAGGCTTTAGCAATAAATTCTGTTTTTTCACAATCTAGTCAATATTTACTCTTTACCACTTAACTTCTATCCTACACACCCAATGTTGGCAAGAATATGGAGTAACCATAGGTCTCGTGTATTTTTAATAGAAACTGAAAAAAGATATGGAAGTTTCTCATAAAACTAAACACATATTTACTTTAGGACCCAACAATTTCACCACTAGGTATTTTTCCGAGGAAAAAAAAATGTATACAGGAATATTTGTAGCACCTGTTATTCATGATAGCCTCAAACTCAAAACAATGCAGGTGTTTATTAATAGACAAATACATAAACAGTACTATATTCATGTAATGGAACCTTACCCATAAAAAGAAACAAACTACTGATACAACAAAATGAACAAATCTCAAAAACAAAATACTAAACGAAAAAAATACACGAAAGAAATTCTTTTTATATGATGTCTTAAAAAAGGAAAACTAATCTATGGTTGAAAAGTATTGCAGCACTAGTTGCCTCTGAGGTGGCAATTAAAAAAAATAACTGATAAGAACAAAAGATAAATTTTGGAAATGGTAACGTTCTTTATTTTGATGAAGGTTTATTTTACAAATGTATATGAAATTGTCAAACTCATTGAATGGTATATTTAAGATTTGCTTATTCATTATATATAACTTTTACTTCCAAAAGTATCACTAAACAACTATTGAACTCACTGATATATGTGACGAAGTATTTAGGGGTGAAATATACTGACGTCTGCAACTTACTTTGAAATGAATTATAATTAAGATGAATTGGCTTATAGAAAGAGGGACAGATAGATATGTGATAAAACAAATATACTAAAATGTTACTGATAGAATTAAGGTAGTGGGATATTTATGTTTACATACAATTCTTTCATTTTTCTGAGTATTAAAACAATTTTATAATAAAATGTTGGGAGAGAGAACCTCACTTCCCATTACTTCCTTCTATATACCCTCCGTTCTAACTAATGGGTTCATGTCTGTTTGAACATCCTCATTGTTTGTCACCTCTGTGCCTTTAACCTATAAATACCATCCTTCATTTTCATTTATACTCAAACTGAACCTTATTGAAGTTATACATGCTGATCACTTCCAAAAAAAAACTTTTGATGACTAATTTCATTTACAATATATCTCCTGAAATGAAAGTTAATTATCTTAATGCTTTTCATTTGTATTTAATTATACATTATAACAAGAAGCATTCTTTCAACTATATCTTTAATTATAGCACAGTGAGATAGCATAGGATAGGCATGGAGACAAATTACCTAAATTTTAATCCTGGCTTCATAATTGACTTAATTTACTAGCTTTGGGTTTCACAATTCTTACCTAGAAAACCACTACCTTCCTTAGATGACAATTCAGAGGAATAGAAGTATTAATTTATATTAATATCTTGTACCTGGCACAGAGCCCAATAAATGTTAATAATCATTATCTTCACAGTATGTAACTAGTACCTTACCTTGTGTCTTAAATTTTATAAGTTTCTTAATAGCAGAAGTTGTTTCTATAAGACAATTTTTATTATTGTCTTATTGCATTTTTCTACAAAAATGTATCATATTGCCAAACATAATCTCTAAGAAAATATTTCTTTAATGAATGAATGAGGAAATTAAAAGCTTTAGTGTGTTTTACTAGTGTGCTGTGCTGTCTCTGTTTGACTCTCTTTTGCAGTAATATAGCTTTAACTAAACAATCTCCCATAAGCAGCATGTAACAAAATTACTTACAAATGGAAGACTATGCTTTTCAATTTAATGCATGCTTTTCCACCATTGTTTCAGATGTACATCTATGTTTGACTGCTTTTACAATCATAAAAAGAAATATTCGATATGTACCGCTATTTTGCCAGTGTTTCCTTATGTACTAGGATCCAATTAGCTATTCATCTTACAGAGTGCAGAGTTCTGGAGTTCCAGGGAGACTGAACTTTGAAGGCCTGTAATACGGAACAGAATCAAGCAAATATGAGTTTTATGTCTTTGCTGTTTCTTTAGAAAAGTATTAAAACATTGCTGGAAGCTGTGATTTTATAAACTTCAAAAGCTAGGGGAAATCAAACATTCTATAGGATCATGGTAAGGCTAAGTCCCTTTATCACACTACAGTGATGACAACACAATCATGTCTCTGGGATATAGAATTATAAAAACTTGTGATTAACTGAGTGAGAAAATTAGCAAGTTGAACAGCAAGTTGGAGGTTCCTACCTTACCACAAAAGCAGGCGGGCCCTATGGAAATTGTATATAAGTGTAGAGCAAGTTGGCAAATCTATCAGAATGACGAGTTTTGGTCTCGAGAACTTACACACATTTTTTCAGAATTCCAGAACCATGGAGCAGTTTGAAATTGTAAGTGCTTGTGTGTGAACAATCTGGTTTTTTTTTTGTTATTGTTTTTGTTTTTGTTTTTGTTTTTTTTTACATGACATGATGAGAATTTAAAGCTCATGCACAGATGGCTTTAAAATGTCGATAGCTATTCTGTACTTTTCACTACCTAGAACTTTTAGAGGAACTTTGACATCTATAACTTTTGTGGAAAGCCCTGACTAGAACACAATTTAAAGAAAGCCCAATGTCTTCATTCTGTTTTGAGGCCAAGACTAGGTGTTTTATTCCAGCCTGGTCTCTTGGAAAGAAGGTTCCCAGTCATGAAAAGGCCCCTCAGAGGGAAAAGTATGGCCTGAATTCAACCGAAACCTTTAAGAGCTGGTGCCTCAAGCTTCACCAACAGAGGGTTTGTCAGACCAGGGGTGTCAACCCTCAGGGTCTTTTACTTACTACCCTTTATTATCAAGTGCCTCTTGCACTAGGTCTTGATCCACATAGGTATTCTCCAGGTATTCATCTGCATGAGGGCAGGCAGAACTTGTTGCTTATAAAAGTCAGAGGCTTTGCACAGCAAGGTAACATAGACTTTAGCATAAATTTACAAATATCGTATTTTATTTAACAGCTGAATCCCCTAGTCTATTTCCCTTATCATCCCAGTAGCACCTAACTGCCTAACCCACTGAGAAGGCTGCTTCCTAGGTCTACTTAGTAATTCTAATGTCTGATAACAGTATTTGTCCCCAGAGTGATCTCAGGTTCACACTCATCCTTTTATTTTATACATTTTATATTTCTCTCTATTTTATAGATCAGAATTATTTTTCATGGGCTGAGCATGATGCTTCACACCTATTATACCAGCACTTTGGGAGACCAAGGCAGGTGGATCACTTGAGGTCAAGAGTTTGAAACCAGTCTGGTCAACATGGTGAAACCCCATCTCTACTAAAAATATAAAAATGAGCCAGACGTCGTGGCAGGCGCCTGTAGTCCCAGCTACTTGGGAGGTTGAGGCAGGAGAATCGCTTGAACCCAGGAGGTGGAGGTTGCAGTAAGCTTGGATCATGCCACTGCACTCCAGCCTGGGTGATAGAGGGAGACTCCATCACAAAAATCTTAAAAAATTGTTTTTCATGGTGGTGGTCTGGCCTCTCAAAAACTTCTCTCTCTTATCCCCCAAGATTTAGAAAACTCTTACATATTTCAACCGTAAGGAAATAGCTGATAATACAGATACTCTTCATATATATATATGGATGTACGTAACTATGTACACACCCACTCACCCCACACACACACAGTAGATGTGCCTAAACCTAGCAACACTTGTCAATGAGCAGCTTGAAGACATGTAATACTAGATCTTAAAGGGGTGCATTTCCTGCTGTATTTGTTTCATGTAACAAAGTATTGCAAAGTTGGTCACTTGAAACAACAGAAATTTATTCTCTCACAGTCCTGGGTGCCAAAAGCCCAACATCAGTATCACCGGGACAAAATCAAGACTCCAGTAATGCTATACCACTCCCAAGGCTCTAGGAGGGGACTGCATCCTTGCTTCTTCCAATTTATGGTGGCTGCTGACATTTCTCGGCTTGTGTCTTCTTTGCTCCAATCTCTGACTCTCTCTTCACATTGTCTTTTCTGTGTGTGTATCCTCTTCTCTACTGTCTGTGTAGAGACACAGACCACTCCCTCGACCACTCTCTTTTAGGATACATGTGATTGCACTTAGGGTCTACCGTGATTATCAAGGATATTCTCTCTGTCTCAAAATATGTAACTCAATCACGTCTACAAATACTTTTTTCCTTTTAAGGTAACATTTATGGGTCCCAGGAATTAGGACTTGGCATCCTTTAGGGGTCGTTATTCAATTTACTCTACCTTCCAACCACCCTCCTTTCACTCTGAGTGCTTTCTATAGATTTCAGAGGATCACTTTTCTCCTATGCCTCTCTCTATATATATCACTCTTATTAGAATTCTATTTAGATATGACTACACATTAAGGACTACACAAGTAAAGCTCATTCACTAGGTATAGAAGGAGGGGTTAACCTGACAGATGAGGTTATTTCTGGTAATTCTTTTCTTTTCTTTTCTGTTTTTTGAGACAAGTCTCACTCTGTCACCCAGGCTGGAGTGCAGGAGCACAATCTCGGCTCACTGCAGCTTCCACCTCCCAGATTCAAGCGATTCTCCTGCCTCAGTCTCCCGGGTAGCACCACCACATCCAGCTAATTTTTGTACTTTTGGTAGAAACGAGGTTTCACCATGTTGGCCAGGCTGGTCTTAAACCCTTGACCTCAGGTGGTCTGCCCACCTCAGCCTCCCAAAGTGCTGGGATTACAGGCATGAGCCACCACGCCTGACCTATTTCTGGTAGTTCTTAGACAGAATAAAGAAGTAATCACACAAAAATTCCCAGAAATCAAAGGCTAGCACTCCATTAGCTGTGGGAAAGTATCATGCTCTTTTTGTCTTAATCATGGGCATGCCAAGGTGTATTATAGAGAAGAGTATATAAAATATATCCAGGAAGGTAATTTTAAGATGGTACTAAGAAAAAGCAGGCCAGGAGGTAAGTCATAAGAGCCCAGGGAAAGCTAGTAGAACCTCTGCGGGGCATCTGACTCAAAACGAATAATGAAATCAAACAAGTTCATAAGTTTAGTGGTGAGAGTGCCATCGCTGCTCTAGAAAGCTATGCACTTAATTTATTGCACTCTTTATATTTCTTCATGTCTCTTGGTTGTCCATGTGTGCCTTCATTCAATTCTGTCCACATATATTTATTGAATTCCCAGTGTATGCCAGGCACATTGTACAATGGGGATGACACCCTGAAGAAAACAAGCCTAATCTCCATCCTTCCTTGAACTTAAAGTTTGGGGTGTAATCACTTGGCTTTTAGTTGCAGGAAATTACAACCAATCAGCTCTGTAATGAGAAACTCAGGGCCTATGATTTACCAGGAGTATGTCATGAGGATGAGAGTGGATCTGACATGTGCAAGAACTAAGATGAATATGAAACTAAAGGAAACAGAGACAGAGCCCCTTAATCATCTGTGTCTCCCCACTTGGAGAGTCGCCTTTCAGGACAAACTCATAGTGTTCCTAAATCTTGCTGCAATCAACAAGTTAGAGTTGCATTAGAGCAGAGGTCTTCAAAGTCCTCAGAGGAGCTAAAGAGAAACACTGTGATCCCTCTCATGTGCCTGTTTCTAACAAAGCAGCTCTGTTTTCATCTGTTTTACATCTTGGGCTTCTAAACAAAGGGTTCTGCAACAAGAACAATGAAGATTGAAAACTCCTGCTTTAGAGTAGCAGCCCCCACAGTGACCAACACACTTCTGCAATGCCACGTGTGAGAAACAATTCAAAATGCATGTACAGTGACTGGTGGGTCAGGTATCATCTTATATGAAGAATGGACTATTAAACCAATACTTAACCAGTGACAGTGACTGGTGTAGATGATGATAACTTGATTCTCTCTGGTGTTTCATTTCTTCTTCATGTGACAGGAAAGATAACCAGGAAGGGAATGAAGGAGGGCAAACTGTTGTTTCTCACAATGCTTGTCATCTATCAAGTGATAATTTCCCTGCTCATGTTCTGAAAGTCTCCTCTTTTGAAGAACCTTATGTCTTCATGAGTTTCTGAAGAGCTGTCCATGGGAACTGAAAACACAAGGGTGATAGAAAATTACATAAATCTGGGTAAAAAAAAAAAAAGAAATTGAGTTGAGATCTGAAAGTTTGATGAAAATCTCTTATCCATTGTGTATGTATAATTTTTATTATCTTACACATTTTTAGAAAGATGAGTACAACTCGTATTTTTCACACTACGCTAACCTCTGGGTAGGATAAGGTAATAACGACATAACCAACAGTACGTTCTGGCTCTATTTCTGCCCAATCTAGTCTTCAGAAAATTCTCCCCAAATGGTTCTGAGTGTTCCTAGGTAGGATCATGTTCTTTGGCACCTAATAGCATCATTCATTTTTATTCTTGCTCACAGCCACAATTTCTTCAGTAACCTTTTATGTTGAAAGTGGCAGCTATGCCACTATGATTGTGAAGTCACTTATAATGAACTGGCAAAGGGTGTCATCACTTTAACTAGCCTTGCTCAGATTTCAGTTGTGCCAGGACCTGAAGGGGCCTGCAGGCAGAAATGAAGACGGCTCAGAGGTATCTGGAAGTACTGAGCACCAGATGGAAAAATTGGTGTATTCTTGCACAAACAGACAACAGTTTGGGTATGTAGAGCCATGGCTTATGGGGAGGAGTGTCCACACTTGCCTAAATGTTTCAGAATGCAAATACAACTTTGAGAACAGGAGTGGAGGGTACATTGTCTCAATAAATGTTTCTGCCTCCATAAGAATAATGTTCATGTAGATAACAAAGTTTTATTTTCTGATCACCTGAGTTCATTGACTGCTAACATTTCCCCTGTACACAAAATTATGAAAACTATAAATTATACAAGATTATTAACTAAATATAAATATATCATTATCATGTAACAAATTATTATAGTGTGATACAGTAATGAAGTATTAACACATGCATAATTAATTTTTATAAAATACTAATAAGTTTTTACTTATAATTTAAGTTCTGAGATACATGTGCAGAATGTGCAAGTTTGTTACATAGGTATACAGGTGGCATGGTGGTTTGCTACACCCATCAACCCATCATCTACATTAGGTATTTCTCCTAATGTTATCCCTCTCCTAGCCCCCTACCCTCCAACAGGCGCTGGAGTGAGATGTTCCCTTCCCTGTGTCAATGTGTTCTCATGGTTCAACTCCCATTTATGAGTGAGAACTTACAGTGTTTGGTTTTCTGTTCCTGTGTTAGTTTGCTGAGAATGATGGTTTCCATCTTCATCCATGTCCCTGTAAAGGACATGAATTCATCCATTTTATGGCTGCATAGTATTCCATGGTGTATATGTGCCACATTTTCTTTATCCAGTCTATTATTGATGGACATTTGGGTTGGTTCCAAGTCTTTGCTATTGTGAACAGTGCTGCAATAAAAATACATATGCCTGTGTCTTTATAGTAGAATGATTTATAATCCTTTGGGTATATACCCAGTAATGGGATTGCTGGATCAAATGATATTTCTGGTTCTAAATCTTTAAGGAGTCGCCACACTGTCTTCCACAATGGCTGAACTAATTTACACTCCCACCAACAGTGTAAAAGCGTTTCTATTTCTCCACATCCTCTCCATCATCTGTTGTTTCCTGACTTTTAACATAAAATAATTTATCCTATAATTCTAGTTTGTATTTTTCTACACTGTTTAATCTTTGTGGATAATTTATTTAATTAGCTAATAGTCTCCAAAGACTTCTATTAAAAAAAAAACACATTTTCATTGCTTTATAAGAGATTTATTAAACCAATTGGGCTCCAATACTACACATTTATGGAGAAACGAGTATATGCCCTATTGCTATAAATCAAGAACAAAAGCTATAAATGAGGCAGTAGGGCAAGGGACCAAATTCTCAAGTCCAGGATCCCAATGAGAAAAGGCAAATTGAAATTTGCTCTTTCTCAAGCATTCTATTTACTTAACAGTCTCTAGCTAATTGCTTTAGGCACAACTAAAAACTAATTCTGCATTTGCTAAGGTCCATTAAAGAATTTGAAAATATAGTTCAAGGGAACTAAGGCAACTCTCCACCACCACCCCTGACCAACACACCAACCACTGCACCTGAAATTTCAGCTGTGCTAGGGAGGCCAGGCAACAAAGTATTCTTTTAAAAGAACAATAGATCTTCTTGTAGATTCACTAGGGACATGAACAACAAAGCAACTACTGGAAAGTCTGGTAAATCTCCGCATGCATCTGGAATTGATAGGAAGAAATGACATAGGACCATTATTTGTCTTATATGAATTCAAAAAGTCATCTTGTTACGCACTTTTTTCCTAAGGATATTTGTACTTCAACATAGTATAGCTCTTTCTTGTAAACAGATGTACATGATGGATGAATAGAGTGAGCGCCTATGGTTTCAATGTTCTCACCCTCCAAAACTGAATTATACCAAGATGCTGCTAATTACACAATAGTTCTTCTAAATGAAAGCTCACAGCAACAAAACTCACAGTAGGGGGTTTTAATGGGTAATATTATATTACTGAGTAATTGAATCTTTAGCTCTTAAAGAGGTTTTCAGCTTTTAAAGTTAAAGACAACAAAACCTGTGTTGGAAAGGTGCCGTATAATTAATTAGGAGAAAAAGTAGTACCAGAAAACAAAATAATTTCCTCTTTACCACATTTCCTCCTCCACAGAAGTTTTGTACATTTATTACCATAGAGTATTATCTTTTTCACCATCCCATCAAGACTAGGTTATATTTACTTTACATGAGAATGTTTTGTGTCACATTGAATGGAGTATCAATTGGATTCAAGATACTACAGCTCAAGTTTTTCTTATCTGAATAATTACACTACTCCTAATGTTATTATCATTTATGATTATTAGTGACCATTTTTCAATCACCAAGCCATTGTAGCAGGACAACATTAAACAGTTTCTCAGCAATTCACGTTGTACTATATTATATTTCCTCCACAGATATAGAAATGGAACTAATATCTTGGCCAAGGTTGCATCCTACCAAGTGCTGAAGAGGTGTTCAAAATGAAGAATTTCTGAATCTACAAATCAAGTGATTTTTTTCACTAAATGATAGCTACTTCTTTGTGTGTGTGCGTGTGTGTGTGTGTGTTTTGTGTGTGTGTGTGTATGTGTATTTTATTTAACTAGAATGGTAGAAATGTTCAAAGACCTGTATCCCTTGGTAGGATCCCAATTTCATGGATGAAATAAATTGTTACCATTTATAAGTAATGCATGATGCTTTGGGCAAATAATATAAAACAAGCATCTCTTCCACATGAAATCTCCTTGGCAAAGAGTCATAGTGACTTTAGGTTGCTACCTGGCTGTTCAGGCCAACATGGGACAATTCTAAATCTAAACATGCTTCTCAACAGAAGCACTGTTGGCATATGAAGTTAAACAATTATTTGTAGTGCTGGACTATCCCAATCATTGCAAGACATTTGCATCCCTGGACACTACTTACAAAATAGTAATGGCCTCCACACAAATACAAAACCCTACCCTATGATAATACTGCCCTGAGCTGCGAACCACTGAGCTCACCCAGTCTTATGACATTCCATAGTCAACAGCAAGCTGCTCTACTGCTGCAAGAAGCAGTCCTGGACTTTACGTGCAGTGTTACATCATTTTGGCCCCAGCCCAAGAATGTTAGGAGCAGATAACATGCTGCTGTAGACAGATTTGAACTAAGTCACTGCTATGGGGCAAAAACTGTATTAGATCAAGAGAGAAAGGTTAGGGAGTCCAATCAGAGTGTATGGATGTGAAAAGATGGTCAGTCTCCATACCGAGTAATAGTCATAAGTGACAAGGAAAGGAAAGAGAAAACACAGTAGGAGGTGCGCATCTCCAGTTTATGGGAAGAAAGGGGCAGTAGTAAGGCCAGGTGTAATGGCTCGCACCTGTAATCCCAGCACTTTAGGAGGCTGAGGCAGGTGGATTACGAGGTCAGAAGTTCAAGACCAGCCTGGCCAACATGGTGAAACCTCATCTCTACTAAAAATACAAAAATTAGCCAAGCATGGTGGCATGCATCTGTAATCCCAGCTACTCAGGAGGCTGAGGCAGGAGAATCACTTGAACCTAGGAGGCAGAGGTTGCAGTGAGCTGAGACTACGCCACTGCACTCCAGCCTGGGCAACAAAGTGAGATTCCATCTCGAAAAAAATTAAATTTAATTTAAAAATGGAGCAGTAGTAAGGTCCACCCGCCCAGTGCAGGCTCTGTAGGCTGGCTGCCAATTTCCTGCATGCTATGGGCTCATGATATGGCAATTTTCTGTCTGGAACTCAATAGTTCCTTCAGTCTTTACAATTACTCCTCACTCATCCAGTAACTACTCTTGGGCCCCACAGAAGACAGGCCAACTGTCGACTTTCATGTCTGTTATAACTTATTCTTGAAATATGTCACCATGAAGCCTAAAAAGCTTGATGCCCCATTCAACGCATTTTGAGTTACATTTTTGAAAGAGGATGTTTGGGCAATGACACACAAATTACATGCACAAAGAAAATTAATTATTTGCAGACATGTAGTATAATTATATGGGTTTATGCTATCCATGTGTGAACCTTAGTCTCCCCTAGTGCAAGCACTGCATATAATAAAAAAAGGTTTAACAGCTTTCAGAAAAATTTATTATGCTTACTTTTGCATAATTATGCAAATAATTTTGTTTACTTTTGCACAAGAGTGCAAAATGTATTATGCCTACTTTTGCACAAGAGAAAACTCTTCATTATTTGATGGCATTCATTGGCTCATATGAGTAGAAGGAAACTTAAAGGGCCAACTGGTCCATTCCTTGGCAATCAAGAGGGACAACTTTCAAACAAACCTTGAAAGATGGTGCCAAGGATCTGCCACTGGTGCCACTTGAGGAAATATACCATTGTTTAATCTTTCACCCTCAGAAAAATTTTCTGTTACTGTGTCTAAATTTCTTGCAACAATTTAAATTATCCTCAATAATCTGGGGTAAAAAGATGCAGACTAGTGGCTGGTCACCTCCTCTATGTTAAAATGCTTCATGACTGAGAGTTGTTATTCAGTAATTTCTACCTCCTCTTTAGATCAAGTAATGTCACTATGTTTAGAACCTTTTCTACAGAGGCTTTATTTTATCAAACAATAATTTTCAGTAAATGTCATACTCATTTCTAATGATAAAACATCTTTTTTATCATTAGATGAGAAGATCTTTTCAGAGGTCTTTTTATGCGTTTTTAAAATTTGTATTGGCATCACACCAGCTTTTAATGATCGCTTCATGTGTCCTCCATATCCAAGTGCCTTGTTATTATAGCACAAAAGCATAAAAGCTGACTTGGCCCCTAGGTAGATTCTCCAGCTACAACTCCCTTGATGCAGATAGTACCTCTCATTTGGCCGCTTGTTCCCAACCCCCCACTGTTGCCTCCAGCAATACATCTCACAGCCTCCTACTGCATCACATCCCTATGACATGTTCTACAGTGGGCCCCTTGAAGTCCCTCTTAGAAGAGCTAGGGTTAAGAAGTTGCACCCCTCATTCCCATGGCTGGGGGTAGAAAGTAGACTCATAGCGCTCCAACAGTTCTCCTCAAACATCTGTCTCAAAAAACATCTCCTTTATTTCTACCCTAAATAAATTTATATTCTCAATATGTGAAGGACTCACATATTAAGTAATACAATCAAGTAATACATTTTCAGTTAACTACCACATGAAATTTTGCATATCGTCTAGTATCGCCTTTGAAATTCAACATATATTGTTTTGTCCCAGTAAAATCCAGCTTTTATTTTATTTCGTTTTGATATAAAGCAAGAAATATTTATAAAGATTTGAAATTCTGGTTTCACAGACACGGGAGAGAAGAAAAGACTGAAAACATAAAAACAGAAAAATGTTTTATTTCAATTATTTTTCTCATCTGCAAAATGGAGTTGAAATTACCTACTTATCCAGAGAGACTGTGAAAATTAAATGAAATTAAAAATATTAAGACATTAGCTGGACTAGTCCCAGGATAAGAGCTCAAATAATCTAGGATTCAAATATTAAGCTGGACAAACTAAAACAATTTTATAGAATCATGAGAGAGCTCTTTTTTTGATTCAACTATGAATCTGTTAGTTTTTCAATGTTCCAGTAATGTGGATTAGAGTAAACTGAAAGAATTTATTCTTCAGAAATATTAAACCCCTTTCTTTTCAAGAGGTC